TAGAACACGCACATTGTTCATACGGTGTCCGCACTAGGTATGAGCACAAATGCGAAGGTACCGGTGGTCAAAAAGAAAACGATACAGGTCGTAACATCCTATTAGTTATGACGCAAATGAGTAGCTATGCCGGGCGTGGGTTTGGAGGGGACAAGTTTGTTCACGAAGCCCCGCTGCGTCGCATGGCCACATGGTGAACGCCACTCGGCTTAGTCCTTTTAGTACGCATGTGAGTATTGGAGTCCATGTCGCGCGTGGATAACTTTGCGGAATCACTTGACGTTCCTGGAATAGTTGGTTAAATGACCATAGAAGAAACAACACTCTTGTCCTACTCGTTAGCCATGCGGCATGAAATATCAATCTGTGGCGCGTCAGACACCACTGAAAGTTCCCGGTCACTTGAGGTTCGGATTCGCGAGTAATGGTAACGTATTCACAGGACGGGCTTCACGTTGTTTCATTTTGCGCTTTACTAAGAATACTGCAGGGACAAGCCGGTGGTTGTAGGAAACTAGCCAGCGTAATATAGACGAGAGACGGGGCTTTTGCAATATTACTGATGAAAGCTCACGATAGCAAATCGGAATAGTCTGAACTGGATTGCTCAATGGAAGTCTGTTACAGCCTTTTGGACGCCAGATAGACTTGATGATTCTGGCGTCATTTCCTACCTCTGTCGGAAGTGTAAATTCATGTTGGCCATTAAACTGTGATAATTCACGGCGCTGACTGAGAATAGTGGGCAAAAGAAGCCAGCTTGAATGAGACGACGCACCATAAAGGCGTCCAACAACATCGACGGTGAGTTGGACTGAGAAATGAAAGTCACCGACACGTTATAATGATATTCGGTGCCAGGCAACCACCACGAGTCGCATGTGGAATGGTTATATCGCGCGGTCGCCTGCATCTGCACGAATTCGAAATGGTTATCTCTGGATTGCAAGGAAAGCACCTGGTCCTTCCGGGCACCGACCAACAGGGTATCATATTTTAGATTTATCTGCTGGTTTGGGTAAAGAGGAACAAGGATTAGTGCAATAGATAAATTCAACCACTTCCAAGGTCGAATGCAAAAATAAAATGTCCATGGGACAAACGCACCACACAACGGAAAATAAGAACACGGGGTAGACTACATAATTTTATTTGATGCAATATAGGGATTGCCCAAACGATAACCGCTTAAGTGCAGTAGAAGAAACGCAGCAGAGTAAAACAATAAAAATGCAGAAACAATTGGAAATTGATAGTAATAACAAGAAGAAGAATATTGAAGGACGCTGTGGGAAAATGGCTACCCAAATCACTCTATAAAAGTTCACATGGAGCAGAGGAAGAAAACACCAGTAGTCTTAACGGTTAACAGAAAAAATTAGCTTACAACTTCCTTACAAAGAGGAAATCGCAACCGAAATTCTTAATCGCCGTCTATTAGGGGAGCTCAGGCGGAGGTTACCAGCAGCAAAATAACGGACTTACTTTACCGGCACACTGATGGTGAAGCTAAGTCTCAAGGACAGTAGACCTCTACACGACAACTTCGTGTGCGTCTATTCATTTACCTGTTCCTGTGATTCAGGATACATTGGTCGTACGAATAGGTGTCTACCCGAAAGAATGAAAGAACACCATCCGGCATGGCTAGCGACTGGATGCAGAAGGGTATGTAACGCAGCCGTAGCTGCCCACCTTGCCGACACAGGCCACAACCTTAAACCAGCCGACGCATTCCAAATTATCTACAAGGCCCCGAATAATCGATCGACGTATATGCGCAGACGGGCACTAGAAGCTATTGCAATTCGTCTGCACGAACCGAACCTGGGCACTCAGAAGCGATTCGTTCAGGTCTTACGGCTGCCCTCGCCCGATCGAATGGTAACCCTTACTCAGTTGGATGGCGAGAAAGCTCTGACATCGACCTGATTAATAACGATAGCTGATCGTTTTAACAACCTCAGTAGTCTGTCTAATTGCTGTAATTGACCTGAAAAGCAATTATCGAAAACATATGTCCGATAACACTGACCAGTGGTTTAAGGGAGTAGGAAGACTGAAAAAGGCAGGGGTGATGAGAAACTCTGCGTTGATGTCACTTCGGCCCATGTTCCTTATTCGAGAGTTAAACCCTATCGATACTGCCTTTGAAACTGGCTTCGAAATCACACGCAAATTTGAACATGCAGCGTGAATTAGCCCTGATACGTTACGCTTTCCTCGTCAGAGGAACTGGTAAGTGCAAGATTCGGTTGGTGACAACAACTTGAGCAGCATAGTGATTTCGTTGTCACACAACAAAGACAGTGATTCCAACTGGCGTTCCCCGGAAAATGAGCAGCAGTGGGTCAAAACAGACCACATCGCAATAAGCAACAAAAAATGTGGTTCTCATCTTGATTGTCGACCGTTTTTGGGACACGTACCTCGACTATGATCAGGTGGCAATCCCCTCACAATACGAAACATTGAATATAATAGCGTAAAGGAATTTCCTAGAGTGGTGACCGCAAAGATGCTGCAGTCAAACGTTAAGCAAGCGTATCAGCATACGCCTGCACTAAAGCTCGGTTTAAAAGGAGTTTCGATGTAACAGTGTTTGTTGCCATGCGTGGCGCGGGAGAAACTGCCTATAGGCCGACTATCACTATCAGTGTGTTGGACACTAGGGAGCCGAAACCAGCGACATTCAGGTAAGGAGTCCACATATGTAAGCATCTGATAGGATATTTGGTCAAACAGTTTGTTAGGTACGCAATAACTTAAACTCGATCAATTTGTAAGACTGAAAACATCGAGGAAACGAAAGCAGTCAGTGACTACTGTCATCTCTATTCACTTAACTGATCTACTGATCCAAGGGAATCAAGCGTCAATGGGAGAAGCAGATATTCTTCGTGAATTGTTTGGTGGAGCACTTTCGGGAATGATTCGGACGGCCCCTATCTATGAACAGCATTGCGAGTTGCACAACAAAGTACATCTGACTTTAAGCTCCATTTGAATCTGATAATCGAAACAAGGTCACAACCCACAAATGTTTCCGCTTCGTTAATCCAGATTCTTACGTGCACTCACGGTTAAGAAACGGTAATGGTAACCTATATAAATAAATGACTCATCTAACCAAACAGATATGAGGGAGAAAGTCGTCAAAGTTAACGGAAACGTTTGTGTGAACCACAGAGTATCAGCCTAGCGCCGTCAGAAACTATGTTAAAGAAACCAATCCTCACTCATCGCTTTGATGTCGGATGAGAATCCCGTGTGCAAGAACGGACAGATTTCGTACAGGCATGGGACGTATAGATGACAAGCTCGCTATGCACAGGTGTCACAACAGCTGGAGTATGGCTGCGTTCCTCAAGCTGAACTCTCCGACTCGATAGACTGCATGGTTTTTGCTCAATATACTCATCCGAGTAGATGAGCTGACGAAATATGCGATACAACAGACAGAGAAGGATCAATGCCTTGTTGATGAGCAACGCTTGTCAGGAACATAGCATACCCAAGCTGCATACTATTCCATTACAGACATCAGCATGGGACGTTAGATTCACTGTTGTGCATCGCAATGAATGCGACGAGTTGCAACTCTGGAGTAGGCTAGTTGATCTGGACCCGTAGACGACACCGGGTTGCTGACGGAAAATGGCGTGGCGGTGCTGTCAAATCAGGAGAAAGTATCTGGAGTAACCGCGCTCGCTGGTATGCGGTTAGTACACTTAAAGCGCGAGGTGGTACTGCACGACCCCCAACCTTCTATATCCTGACGACAAGAAACTCTATGGATTATTGCTATGTTCGAGCAGTGTAACCATATACAGATGAATCAACAGGTGATTTATGCAGTGTTTAAAGTTGACCAAACAACACTGCTCGTGTCGTGACATTTGCATAGCCGTGACGATGAAAGGTGTAGGCAAGTAAAGAGAGTGACAGTTAGACTGGCTCGTAAGACCAACAGATAAGGCTGAACAACATGTGTCGGCTGGAGCACGCACCATTTGCGGAGACGAATGCAGTGCTGTTTACCGAATCCATGATGACATAAGACACCAGGAGAGTTAACACAGACTTCGAGGTAAAGTAATGCATTCTCAGACCAGGGGGGTTACGTGCTGGCGATACGCTCCACAGATGCACGTGGAAACCTCTAGGTGCCTACTTCACATCCCAGCATATATAACCCAAATCGAAATGAGTGGCGCTTTGGCTTTGCAGCAAACACCAAAGTGCTCAGAATTTGTAGTGCGCAGTTCAAGTACCTAACTTGTAAAACCATGGATTTCATGATCGAACTGATGCAAATGCTGACGAATCCGCAATCTATCTAGAAGTGATACAAAGGTACGAGGTACCGGCTTACTGCTGAAACCTTACGTATCCACGTTTATACTCTTCAGCGGAACAAGAAATCCAAGGGGTTTCTGCAACTGCAATCTAACCTTATGGTGGCAGCAGGATGTCCACCGCATACAACCGGGGATGGAGGCCGGCCATTTTGTTTACGGTAAAGTGGACTTGTCACACGATGACTGCTTTCAAACAAACTTAAGCAAATTTGTCAAATAACAGTCCTTGTGATCTCATGCTACCTAATAAGTAACAATGGGTCACAAGCAGCAGTGAAATAGCCTGACCACCAAGAGTAGCGGTTAGATTCAAAACTTGCTGTAGACATGCAGCAAGCTCCGACGAGATGTCTTCAAGTAGTTGCAGTAGTATTCGACGGTAGATATCTCTGACTGCAACCGTAAACCAGATCAAGCAAGCGCGGCACAGAGCAAGCACTTGTGTGCAAATCTGACAAATAACAGGATAGTGCGCCTGCTCAAATCAAAGGACATATACACCAATCGCGAAGGTTAGAAAGAAATGATGTTTCCGCACGTCTCACAAACAAGTGCTAGCTTCTGTTTCAACGTAATGTTTGGCACTTACGGAACCGATAAGCGAAACACAGTCCGGTGTTAAGGCATTTCGGCAAACCTACTGACTTCGTTCCAGCATTCGTCCAACGAAGTGCGACAGCAATGAACGGGTTCTGGTGGAAAGAATTCGTTCGGCGAAGGATGTTTGTTCAAAAAACACGCTTCAGACTCCAAAATACCATGGTCAATATAACCAACTCAAACACACAAAAGCGGTACCATCCTTGTGGTGCTTGTAACAAAATGTGATATGTGGACAAAAGTATCAGAAAAGATTCAACCCGTATCTAGGGTGAAATAGAGTGAAGAGGGGTCACAAAACATAAAGGACCGGTACAGAATCAATAGCAAAAACGAATGTAGGAAAACAGTACAATATTATGCACAGCGTCACGGTCCAAATAAACGAAAACCTACATCGTTAAGGACAATGCATGATGCTGAATAGAGAAACCAAAAAAACGATGGTTAAAAGTGAAATAGAGAGTTCATCCAAAATGTTTGCTCGCCAGACGCTGGACTTTTTTGGTGAAACTTGGTGAATCGATTGGTGAAGCACGATCAAAGAATGGGTTCAATGAAAGCTGAAAGAGGATAATACGTTAAGAATGGCATTACCTTCACGTACGTTTCGTAAACTTCATTGAAGAAGCTACGTATGCGATTCTCATTGGGTTCATCGTGTAAGAGCACAAATCGCAATCCTTAGGACGAAAGTTAAGTATGCGCGAAACAAAGCACACGGAACATCGAGCCTAGTTTACGAGAAACAGGATAGTTGATAGTTTGAAATCTGTGTCCTCCCTAACACTAACGTTAACAATATCGGCAAAATAAAAAGGCTAAGAAATGGATAGCTGTTGTGTGATAGCAAGTACATCGCAATATAAAAAGAAATGGGTTACACATTCCGAAAGCCCGTACCCTTGAGGATCACAAACATGCCTTGTAATCCGGAGATCACGGAAGTCGGGCGACGCAGCATCTGTAGCTCACGCGCGAGTTGTGGCGGTTGCGTGGCAGAGAAGCGTCGGTACTGCGTACCGGCGTGCTGCTGATGCCTGTCTTTATGCGTCTAAGATGGGATCATTGGACATCATCAGAGAAACTGTGATACGGGCCTAGATCCCCGGTGAAGATAAAGTGCATCTATAATCTGGCAAAACCAAACAAAAGTACGGAAAAGCTAACGGGGATACTGTGATCAAGGCGGATAAAGGATACGCCCTGGGGTAATAAAAGCAGAGACGATCCATTCGTTGAACTTATCCACGGACTTAAGAAAGGTATTGCCATTGGTCCACGACAAGTCGTCGATAACATCTAAGGCAGCATGAGCTACAAATTGATTCAGATGACGGTGATCATCAACCTTTCATATTCGTCAAGTAAGCGTTTACCTTATTTTCAGAGCCTCTATCGGATGAAAACTCGTATTCGAAAAGGGCCTCGTCGTGATGACCGACCATCACGAAGTAAAATCGTCCAACCATGAAAACAGGCGCGTGATAGTGAGTTAGAAGAAAGCCAAAGCTAACTCAGAGGCATCAGCAGAGTAACCTGAAAATCCAGAAAATCAACGTTTGGATGACTGAAGACGATAAGCATACATGAATTTATCTGTACTTGAGTTCAACTCACTTCTACCGAGGTTAGCGGGATAGTATTCGTGCTCATATTTTAGACGAATAATTATCTCATAGTTAACCACCGTATGGGAAAATGTTTCGTTTCTTAGACGCACAAAAACGAGCATAACATGGTCGCACATAATGGCACGCTGTCCAGTGAGAAGTTAATAAAGTTAAAGGAATAAGACAGTAGCAGCAGTGATAGGTCAATACTTCGTTTTCGCACAATCCTAGTATAATTGCTTTGAAAAATTATAGAACAAGAGTAAGTGAGATGACCCAGGGTCAGAATATCCTACCTATACATCCATTGCCAAGACACTTCCACTTTGGCAACAACGTACAGTCACCGATTTTCGGTTGGTTCCCGTCGCTGTTTGTGGCAAACAACATCACTGGAAACCAGCTACGGCGACATTTCCTGTGGGGAAATTCGCTTTTGATCCTCTTTTGTTACTGACGTTTCTGCGCCGTTGTCACTCCTCGGACACCGTTTGCTCGTCGCACTTTCGCTACCAGCCTAGTGATCCGATCTTCCTTGCCATCAAGAACTTGTAGACTGCTGGAGCACTTTCCCTCGCCGATTCGACTTCGAATCTTCTGGATCCTACTCCAATCATAAACAGATCTTCCCGGATATCACAATGGCCCGCCTTTCTGCATCTGGCCCTTCTATCAACAAGCGAATCATGGCATTTCGACATTACGACTTTTGAGTTGCTGCCTTTGCTACCGCCAGTTTGAGTCTAATCGGACCAGGACTATACCAGTTTCGAAGGCATTGTCTCTCCTTGAGTTCGTTCTTTGTAGTATTCTTCCTGAGTCTATTACCCTTTTTGTCCTTTTGCTTCTCATTGGTTCCATGGCTTCAGACTTCAGTGATAAGTGTGGTGAGCACAGTGGTGGTACTGCAGTCAAGCAGATGTTTATTATGGTATCATAGCAATTGCTCTCGGTTAGATCAGGTCTTCGTTGATCTGTACGCTCGACATTCCCAATTAAAGTGGATCTGTTTCCATTGTGTATGCCTAGTTGATACATGTGCTCGTCTAATAAGCGATCGGTTTGCTGGTCTTACTGTTGCTTTTCCTGATGTGCAGAGTGTTGCTGACACGAAGTACCTTTACAGGCTCTCCATAGCGCTCGTTCATAGATGCGTTGTGTTTGAAGTTAGACGAATTGAGTTCTTTGGTAGAGAGCTATGTTCGGAGTGCGGAAATTACCATGGGCAGACGAAGAATTGTTCTTATCTACAATCGTGAGGAGCTGGTGATGCGCGAGGCTAAGACTTGACGACACTTGAATAGGAGATGAGTACATGATATCCATCGTTTAACAGGGATAACTTTACATGTCGGTATCAAAAAGTTGTATCGTGTTAGTAACTGGAGAGACTGGTTCACTGCGTGGGCAAGGATTTGCCAGGCCAATTCTAGTTGAGTATAGGAATCATGTTCATCGGGACCAACTGCTTAACAGGACCGGCTTAGTTGCGAGTCGGACTAATGGCCGGTATCAGGTGGCGCCGGACACACTTAGCTCACAAACTAAGGTCACGCGGTCAAGTCGGTCGGAAGATACTAATAACTGCTTGGTTGGCGAGTCTGCAACCTTCATCATCATCAATATTATCTAGAAGTGGGAAACAACTCAGCTACTGTGCCGCAATACCTAAAAGAAAAAAGAAAAAAACGCAACAGGTCCAACCAAGCTAACCTACCGGTAACAGATAGGCATCGTTCCGGTTAGCCACCAGCCGGCCGCCATGCAACAAAAAAATTTACTATGCAAAATTATATAAAACTAAATAATGAGATGGTGGTTGCAGGGGGAGACTAAAAGAGATGGGGAGGGAAAGAAACTCACAACAGGAACACCACTGAGGTCGGCTCCTAGCCATATCAACACATGTATCCAGCCAAACGTGTTCATTGTCTTTCGGACCCCAACCAGGGAACCGAGACGTTGCAACCGAGGCCAGCTCCGAAGTGAGGGCCTTCATTTCTCTCGACCAAGTCATCGCATGGCCACCCCTCCTCTTTTTCCATTCACACCCCCGGCGCGCAAAATCGCACGTCGCAGGAGTCGGTGGGCTGGCATGCGTAACATGTGGTCGAGCCATCAGAGCTTGGTGCGTGAAATAACAGTGTTCAGTGGTTCATCTCCTTTTCCTATGCCGTGAACAAAGCGTCGAACAGGTTCTTTGCTTACTCGGTGTTCCCAACAGATAAGAGTTAAGTTGCGAAGGCATCGATGTTCGAAGGTAACTAGCCTCCTTATGTCTGCGAATCCAAGGGGCCATGTTTCACAACCGTACAGTAGGGTCGAACGTACCGCTGCATTGTACACTCGACCATTCAGGGCAAGAGTGGTCGCGCCGACGCCGACGCAAAAGCGCCTCGAGATCTTACTATATGGTTTGTGATCTCATCTTCAACTCCACGGGCGCTGATACAACTTCCCAGGTAGTTGAATTTTTGAAGCACTTCTAGCTGATCCCCACCAAGGGTCAGCGCAGAAGGCGGTCCCTGCCAATCTTGGAGGAACGCTTTGCACTTCCATGGTGCGAAGCAAAGGCCGAAGCGGCTGATAGCCAGTGCTCATTTGTCCAGTGCAGCTTGGCACGTTTGTGAGCTGTCACAGATTAGGGCAATATCATCAGCATACTCCAAGACAAGTAGATCTCCTGAGAGCAGATCCATACCATCTAAGTGGTATCATGTGAACGTGATTTCCATGAGTTCATCAGCAGCCATTTTTATCTCACATCGCTGGAGATATTAAAGGGCGAACACAGCTTACCGTAAGCCCACATTGCCCATACTACGAGCGTATAATGATCGGATATTTACATATTTCTTAGGTACACCTTTCCTGAGTAGACAGTCCGAAAGTCCACGTCTATACACTGAATCGAATGTACCTTTGATGTCAAGGAACACGACAACGGTGGGCCGCCAATATGTGTGACGGTGCTCCAACAACTGACGCTAAGTGAAGATGTGGTCAATGCAGCCACGGCCTGGACGAAACCCGACTTGCGCTTCACGAATACGGCTTTCACAAGTGGCAGTCAGTCTGTGAAGGATGACAGAGGCAAGCAATTTGGAGGCGATGGAGGTCAGACTGATTCCTCTATGGTTGCTGCATTCCGCTCGTGAGCCTCCTTTGAAAATTGGGACTATGACGGAGCAACTCCAGTCGGTTGGGACAGTTTCCTGCTCCCACAGTTTCATTTGTAACTCGTATAAATCATCCACAAGAGCAGGTCCCCGAATTTGAAGAGGGCTGGGGGAATTCTATCTGCTCCGGAGGCTTTATGTAATTTCAATAGCCGAATCTCACGTTCGATCTCTGCACGTGAGGGCGGATCTGAGGAGACGGACCAAGGAGAAGGGCGCTCAATGCCCGAAGAAGAAAGCGATAACTCAGGTTTGTTAAATTGCCTTGCAAAGTGTTCGGCCCAACGCTCCAAGCGTTTTGACAAGCTGTGAATCGGCTGCCCACTCTCGTCGCGTATGGTCTCGCTAACACCAGGTCTCCTGCTGCCTGTTTCCCGTATAAGACGGAATAACTTACGATGATTACCCACGGCAGCGGCTGTCTCCATCTCAGAGGCACGATGAGACCACCAGGTTTCGCGGTCCTTTCTAAGGCTAGCACTTAGTTTTGCCCTGAGATTTTTGCGAGCCTCATTGTATTCGCTTCCAGCTGGAATACGTCGGCGAGCATCCATAAGTTCCATAGACTGTGTAGAGACCCAATGTCCAGTTTGGCAATTTGCCTTGCCACATGAAGACATGCCTGCGGACAGTAACGATTGACGAATATGCGACCAGTGATCTTCAACGGTGTTTAGTGGGCGCTTACTCAGCCCAGATGTCAGCGCACTATGGTATACATTCAGAACATCTGGCTTCGCCAGCTGGCTGGTGTCAATCCGTTCACCTCGACGTTGCGGACGTCCACCGAAACGCACCAGGAGGTCGGCACAGACAAGTGCGTGGTCAGAGTCCACGCTCGTGCTCCAAATTGAGCGACAATTTTGGACACAGCCCCTCCAGCGGTAACTGATCGCGATATGATCGATTTGTGTCCATGGTTGGCCCGAGGCTGATGGCCGCCAAGTCACGCTTCTGCGGGTGCTGTGTCGAAAGTTAGTGCTCGCGAGAAAGAGGCGAGTATCTTCACATAGCTGGAGCAATCGCTCACCATTATCATTACGCGAGCCTACACAATGTTGGCCGCCCAGATGAAGCTCATCAGAGGACAACTTTCCGACTTGGGCGTTTAGATCACCAGCCAATACCACAGTATCCGTGTTTCTTCTGTAACGAAGGAGCTCGTGAAGTTGCTGATAGAAATCATCTTTTACCGAATCAGTGCTACAGTTTGTAGGGGTGTAAGCCGCAATGACAAACAGGCACCGTTTGTCCCCGCGCGACTTCGTAGCACGGAAGGAACCAGCTAATCTAACGGCACACATCCTACTGTTTACTGGGATCCAATCAATCAGGGCAGCTTCAGCCCGGGGACTCAAAACAATGCCCACGCCAGCTTGACCGGCATTTGAAGCTGCATCATCGCCAGACAGGCGCAATGAGAATGTGCCGCCAGTGTCGCATGTGGGGGATCTCAGGGTAAGTACGGAGCTCGAATCTTGCAGGCGGGTTTCTGATAAACAGCAAATATCGATCGATAGGGTCTCTAGTGTGCGGGCAAGTGCTGCCTGTTGGGCAATCTGCAGCAAAGTGCGCACGTTGAAGCATGCCAGTCTTAGCAAGACGCGAGGACTCCAACGGGAAACGGATGAACTGACGTTGTCCGCTTGCTTGAACATGGACTTGTCAACTGGATTGGAGCGAGGCCCTGGGATTGTATGTGATTTGAAATTAGAAGACAAGCGACTACTGAAGAAAGCTGGGGGAGG